CTGAGCCAAGTAGCACCAAAGGTTGGACCTGGTTAAATCCTTTGATCTGGACTTTCTGCAAGTGAATATACTTCTTCTTCAGCTGTTCAGCTGGACATGACTGAGTAGCTAGACTCAGCTGGTCGGCTGTGAATGCATGTGTTACTTTGTACCTCACTTTGGGCTTAGCTCTCGGTGACACCTGAAATGAGACAAAGCCTCCCTTCATCTGGATTACATCTCGACGGATAGTTCGCAGTGCGAGTGTTGCTTCCTCCTGCTCCAAACCTAGAGATTCAACTGCCGCAGGAAGCACAACAGTCTTTTCTGAGCCGTCATCAAGCACAGCAAATGTGTCCAGAGATTTGCCACCATGATGTAGTTGAATTGGTACTACTTTAAGCATGACTCGACCTGAGTGACTTGAATAGTCTAGGTAAACCATACTAGTACTCACAGTTAGTATGTTAGGGTCCCGCTTCTTGGCCTCAACCAGGTCATGGAGCACAGACAAATGCTGGTCACCACAGGTGCTGCACGGCTTCTTTAGAGTACACTGCTCTGGAGAATGTTTACGGCCACAGCGCCAGCATTTGGCCTTCTCAGTAATCCAGGTAGCCATAGCTTTGAGGTCTAGCCCTTTAAATCCATCACAGCCATTCAGATAATGCTCTGTCCCTTCACAGTATGGACAATAAGGTTTGAACTTCTGTCTCTTCTTAGGTTGGACTGTCGGATTGGGAGCTGTAGATCCTCCCCCTGGTCTTAGCTTGGCTTGGGCTGGATTTGGGCCGTAGTAGATGGAAGCAGATTTGCTGTGTGACTTGGGCCCTGCTAAGGCTTTGAGTAGGTTCTTCTCTGGGCGTGGCCTGTCAGAGGGCATGTGAGAGGCTTGTCTGGATAGCTGAAGGACTTGGGATTTCCGTTCAAACCATTCTGAGAAGTCATACATATTGTATGTTCGGCTGCTGCCAGTGCGGATGATCCCCCGGGTAATACAGTACTCGATGAAGCTGTCTCTGTAGTTCAGGGGGAGTTTGGTAAGCAGTCTGTCCACATGTGAACCACAATGAAGCTCACTGGCTGCTACTTCATCCATGGTACTGAGAAGCCCGACCAGGCTGGACACGGACAGGGACAGGTCCTCAATAGCTTGAGAGTCTCCTGTTCTAATAGGGGGGCAGTTCAATATAGTGCTAAGCTCACTTTGGACTAACTGCCTTGGCTGTCCATACCTCTGCTCTAGCGCCCTCATTGCACTAGTATAGGGAGTGCGGTCATGGATGTAGCGCTTGGCTACCTGTAGGGCGCTGGGATACTCTAGATGATCTAATAGGACCTGAAACTTGTAATCTTCTCCCAGATGAGAATGTGGCCCTAAGGTGCTGTCCAGCCCTTTCTTTAATAAGGCGAAGTCACTCTCTCTGCCCGTCCTGAAGACCACCAGCCTAGGCTTTGGAATACCATATGAAGATGCCACCATCATCTCCATCAGGTTTGGTAGAGGCGCTCTGGCTGATTCAGATGTGGCAACCCATGGATTATATTGTCCAGCAGAGGAAGATGATGAATGGTCACTTCCTGACGGGTCGGGAACGTGGTGGTTGCCAGCTGGATCAGGCAAAGCTTCAGGATGCAATATGTTGGATACAGGGTGCTGAGCGTCTGCCCACTGTGATGGCTGGGTCACAGGTTCTGGTGGACGTGGAAGTTGGTAGGTCGGATCAGCAGGACGCGGTGGTTGCTGCAAGTACACAGGATTAGCTGGAGGTCTGGCTTGGAAGACGGGAGCAGCTGGATGTAACGTCTGCTGCAGACTCACTGGATCCCCAGCCTGTGATAGCTGCTGTACTGCATGATAAGCACGTTGTCTTGGCTGATTAGCTGAGGCTGCGTGATGTGATATCTGCACCTGGCCTGGCCGGTTTATAAGGAGATGATGTTCCGATCTCTGGTACACGAAGGGTGTAGCGGTGCATCGTCCAAGTCTCCTGAGTGGCGTTGATGCAGCTACATAAGTGGCAGGGTGCAGCACTGGCTGAGTGTGAAAACTCACTTTACGAGGAGGTGATGGAGCAGATGCCTTCACTGGCGTCAGCATGTTCGCAGGTGTTGTGGTGTCCTGCTCTGGTACAGGTAGTGGCTCTATGGTGCGATGTATCACCTCACTGCTAGGTTGTGAAGCTTGCTCCAAACGCTCCACCCGCTTCAGTAATGTTCCATGAGTGTCCTCCATAGACGCTTGAAGGTGATTCATGGTTTGGAGGACACTGTTCCATGCGGATTCCATCCTCTGCCATCTCCCTTCCTCTTCATTGTCAGAGCTACTGGAACTACTTGGAGCTCTAGATGGGTTGGGTGGCTCAGTTAGGTTGTGCTCATAGTCCACCAGATATCCCGGGAGTTTCCTCTCCCGTTTTGGACGGGGGCTACTCGATGCACCTCCATCCTGAGGGTTTTCCATCTCATGAACTCAGCCAAGGCAAATCTGGCTCGAAGGACCACTTGTACTGAATGTTTGCACTGATTGCCGATCACGCTTCAACTGAGTTGTCCTCGGTCAGAAGGATTGGCACTCCACAGTGATGTAGTCCAAGTAGTTTTATTAAAGAGGTAGCAGATGACATCAACAAGTGAGGCAATTGCATTCCCATCTATGAATGCAGGTAAAGGGAGTGTGAGTGTGCAGGAGTATGTGGGTGTGGTAATCTGTTAACAGAAAGAACAACCATTAGTATGAATAGCAGTGTACCGCTTATACAGCACTGTGGGTTTCCAACATGAAGTTATATGATCTGCTATAAACCTCATGGCCACTAGATGCCACCCTAAGACCATACATGAATTTATTGTTCGTATATGCATTAGCAAACAGTATCTCTACAGGTCAGATAATAAACACAGAAAATAGTTCTATCCACCTCCAACCACCATACTTGATAGTGAGTCGTATATGGAATGCCATATAAGCTGCAACCAAGGCTGCCTGAAGTAGGCCAACAAAACCTGCAACTTAGCAACAGGACTAGCTTCTTAGTGATGTACACAGAGCAACTCACAGATAAAGTCAAATAAGCATCAATCTCATCTTACAATACTCACATGATAAACACGCACACCAAGGGTAACTCACACAGGAACGCACGAGAAAAACGCTGATCATCCAACACCTTTCAGCTGTGCTGAACTGCGCTAAACACGTTCCCAACGGGAAGTACAGATACCGAGGTGCATCATGGGTAATGTAGTCTAAACGGTGTTCACAAACATTATTCCTCTGGAAAGGGACTTTTAACAGCGGGAATGCCTGGAACGACAGAAGGTAGAAAAAGAAAGAGCTGAGCAAGAATGTGTCGTTAGGAAACAAGTAAAGTAGAACAGGAGAAGGAGCGACCAGAGAAAGAAAGGATGGAAAGAGAAAAGTCAGAAAGTAGAGAAAATGATTGCTAGAGAAAAAGGAGGACTAGAAAAGGAAGGCATTGCTGAAGAAAGAGAGAGGATGGCCAAAGAAAAGGAGCTGGCTAAAGAAATGATGGAGAAGGGAAAGAGGGCTGGAGCGAGGGAAGAGGAGGAAGGCATGGCAAGAGGGAGAGCTAGAGTCACTGAGGAGAAGGAGAGATTAGATTAGAAAGAAAGGGAAGTGTTGGAGACAATGAAGGAGAAGAGGGTAGAGACAGAACAAAGCTGGAAAAGGAGAGCGGTTCCAGGGAGAAGGGTCTCTGATCAGCGCTAACCAACTCCCAACCCAGAACTCCGACCGCCATCAGGAGGCAGAAGATGGTCGTCTAGCCGAAGAAAGGATGACGGAACTTTGGGTTAACCCCTCTCTGCTGTGCTTCAGCTCTGGGAGGTCATTACCGGTAGCCATGACAACGGTAGATCGTTCCGCTTTAACGTGTTTAAGGATGCAGCAGCGAGACAGGTCGGGACATCTGGAGTCTGTTCAGATGGAGATAACCTTCTGGTGAGGTTTCCTACAGGTGAGCACACCTGTTGGCTCTAATGGAGTTCACTCTGCTTGGGTGAAGACAGCTCCTCGATGAGAAGAATGGTCCACAGCAGCATGTTCAACACCTTATTGTTCCAGATGGTTGGATCTACCTGGTTTACGTGATGATAATTATACACACACACACACACACACACACTTCTGAGATGATCACCATCACGTTCCCATGACTGAACAGCTACACATCACACCCCCACCCTCTGAAACCGACACAAACAGGAAAATATTGTTAATAAGGGCACGGTGTGGCTTATCGGGCCGACACTGATATGCTAACAGAAGATTTATCGTGCATCCTCAGATGAAACACGCTTTCTGGTTCTCTGCTTGCTGAACTCAGGTATTTGAAGGGTTTTGAAACCGAGTTTTGTTGTAGTTTGTTTCTGAGACTGAAGTCATAAAGATGACATTTCCTCTCCTCTCCTGTGCGTCTGACCTCCTTTAGCACCTCCTTCAGTGCTAATTATTCTGACTGTGACATCACAAACGGGGACTTTTCGATTGGCCAGTTTCAGGGAGATAGGGGTTCATGTGTGGAGTGTGTCCACATGGCAGCACAACAGGATGCTACGGGTGACTTTTAAAATCCGCTAAAAACTTCAAAATAAAAGCTCCTATAGTCTGATTCTGCACTTTATTTTAGTGGGGAGTTGGAAACCCTGACCCAGACCAGAACCTCTGATCCAGTTCCTGTTCCACTCCCAGCAGCACACTTCAGTGTTGATGGGTCAGCGCTTCTCCAGAACCTCCAAAGGTCACGCGCGTGTGTGTGTGTGTGTGTGTGTGTGCGTGTGTGTGTGTGTGCGTGTGTGTGTGTGTGTGTGTGTGTGTGCGTGTGTGTGTGTGTGCGTGCGTGCGTGTGTGTGTGTGTGCGTGTGTGTGTGTGTGTGCGTACAGAGTAGGTAAATACGCAGAAGTGCAACAGGTGTGTGTTACCATGGAAACAGGACAGGTGTATTTCCTCACCAAGGATCTAACTGGATGTTTCTGGTCTCTTTTGGACGCTGAACAGGACTCCGAGTGGGATGGGCACCAGAGGGGCGAGGCTCACCTGGAGAGACGACAGGTGAGCAGCTTCATGACCTCTAACACGTTTTCTTTACTTGCTGACCCGGTACCTGAGAGCAGCTGGTAGTCGACCAGAACTAGGGATGCAACGATGCCCCTTTTTTCCAAACCAATACGATACAGATACTTGGATCTGAGTACTCGCCGATACCGATACTTCTACCTCACAAAAACATGCAATGATTTGGAATACAGGTTTTATTTTCTTCTCTGCCTTCAACAGGAAGAGACTGTGAGGTAGATAAACAGTCAAATAAATGAATAGAAATCATCACAAAACTAAAATATTATGTGAACAGAAATGACCAGTTACAGTGAGCTGCACTGGTATCGGTTCACTTTTACCAACACTGGAATGGGTATCGGCACCGATACGATACAGATACCAGTATCGTATCGGTGCATCCCTAACCAAAACCACCACAAACATCAGTCCTGGGTTGTTTTACTGGTTTAAACTGGTTAAGACTGCCATTGGCTGCTAGAGATTATGCTGATGATGTCACGCTGTTTCTCTTCCTGAATGGGGCAGAGGATAAACGCCAAGAGCAGGTGATGGTAGTATCGGGTCAGGCGTGCCTCACCTCGGTGGTTGGTGCTTATTCATTCATGTAAATGGATGTTCCCTCTCATCTGTCTGGTTTTCCTTCTGTCTTCACGTCTCTAAGAACCAAACCAACAAGCTGCAGAGAAACCAAACCACCGTCCAGGGCACGCCTCGCGGTCTGGAACGCCAGCTTCAGGTGTGTGACACGTAAGCCTGGCCACTAGTAAGCATAAAAACACACCAGGTGGGATCAGGGCCCTGACTAATCGCTGGTTAGGCTCCTCACCACTCGTCTTATTTAAACACACACTTCACCTGCTTCCTGTCACCTGTGTGAGGTTAGCTGTTGGCATGACAACGCCTTAATGTTGATGCTTCTGTGCTGCAGTCCCTGGATCTCAGGATGTGGAGTCTGAAATCCAAGGTTGGTGTGTGTTTGTGTGTGTGTGTGTGTGTGTGTGTGTGTGCGCATGTGTGTGTGTTTGTGTGTGCGTACGTGTGTGTGTGTGTGCGTACGTGTGTGTGTGTGTGTGTGTGTGTGTGCGTGCGTGCGTGCGTGTGTGTGTGCGCGTGTATGTGTGCGTGTGTGTGCGTACATGCGTGAGTGTATGTGAGTGTGTGTGTGTGCGCGAGTGTGTGTGTGCGCATGTGTGTGTGTTTGTGTGTGCGTACATGCGTGAGTGTATGTGAGTGTGTGTGTGTGTGCGTGCGTGCGTGCGTGTGTGTGTGTGTGTGTGTATGTGTGCACACTAACACCAGCTGACTATAACTGGTCCACAGTAATCTCTGGTCTGTTCTAGTCTGATCGTCACTCGTTTGTTACGAGTGAAGCAGACTTCCTTTCTGCTGAGTCATCAGTGATGTCATCATCTGTTAGTTGATTAGATGTTTTGTTTGTGTCGTTTGTCTCAGCCGCCGTTCCGCTGCCTCTGCCGGTAGAAGACCACTTTATTCCAGGTCAGTGTGTGTGTGGGGGGGGCTTCAGAAGTTCCTATTGGTTCAGTGAGCTGCCACTCAAACTCTGCTGCATGGTAGCGCTGCTGCCTCGACACAAGAAGGTTGCAGTTTTGAGTCCTTGGCTTTGCTGCATGGAGTTTGGAGTCTAGATCTAACTTGGCTTTCTTCTGGGGGCATGATGTAGAAGCTGCAGAGCATTCTGGGAAACTTCCCATCCTTCCTCAGCCTCCTGCTGCTGTTGAGCTTGCTTCACCACCTGTGTGGAGGTCAGCCCCCTCATGTCCTCGGTGAGAGGGAGGTTGTCACTGTTGCTTATAAATTGTTCTTGTTCTATGAATCAGCAAACTGCCACGACATTCAGGGTGAAATTAAGCAACATAACTAAAATAATCATCTGAGAGGTTCTGCTGGGTTCACCTGGACCCAGAACTCAAAAGCATCTTTTGTGTTTTATCAGACGATCCTGGAGACAGCCAACACCCCTACGGTCAGTAGGTCCCCTCCTCCCCTCCCCTCCTCTCCTCTCCTCCCCTCCTCTCCTCCTCTCCTCTCCTCCTCTCCTCTCCTCTCCTTTCCTCTCCTTTCCTCTCCTCTCCTCTCCTCTCCTCTCCTTTCCTCTCCTCCTCTCCTCCCCTCCCCTCCTCTCCTCTCCTCCTCTCCTCCTCTCCTCTCCTCCTCTACTTTCCTTTCCTCCTCTCCTCCCCTCTCCTCCTCTCCTCTCCTTTCCTCTCCTCTCCTCCTCTCCTCTCCTCTCCTCTCCTTTCCTCTCCTCCTCTCCTCCCCTCCCCTCCCCTCCTCTCCTCTCCTCCTCTCCCCTCCTCTCCTCCTCTCCTCCTCTCCTCTCCTTTCCTCTCCTCTCCTCCTCTCCTCCCCTCCTTTCCTCTCCTCCTCTCCCCTCCTCTCCTCCTCTCCTCCTCTCCTCTCCTCCTCTCCTCCCCTCCTTTCCTCTCCTCCTCTCCCCTCCTCTCCTCCTCCCCTCCTTTCCTCTCCTCCTCTCCCCTCCTCTCCTCCTCTCCTCCTCTCCTCTCCTCCTCTACTTTCCTTTCCTCCCCTCCTCTCCTCCCCTCCCCTCCTCTCCTCTCCTCCTCTCCTCTCCTTTCCTCTCCTCCTCTCCTCTTTTCCTCTCCTCTCCTCTCCTCTCCTTTCCTCTCCTCCTCTCCTCCCCTCCCCTCCCCTCCTCTCCTCTCCTCCTCTCCTCCTCTCCTCTCCTCCTCTACTTTCCTTTCCTCCCCTCCCCTCCTCTCCTCCTCTCCCCCTTTCCCCTCCTCTCCTCTCCTCTCCTCCTCTCCTTTCCTCCTCCTCTCCTCTCCTCTCCTCCTCTCCTCCCCTCCTCTCCTCTCCTCCTCCTCTCCTCCTCCTCTCCTCCTCTCCTCTCCTCTCCTCCTCTACTTTCCTTTCCTCCCCTCCTCTCCTCCCCTCCCCTCCTCTCCTCTCCTCCTCTCCTCTCCTCTCCTTTCCTCTCCTCTCCTCTCCTTTCCTCTCCTCCTCTCCTCTTTTCCTCTCCTCTCCTCTCCTCTCCTTTCCTCTCCTCCTCTCCTCCCCTCCCCTCCCCTCCTCTCCTCTCCTCCTCTCCCCTCCTCTCCTCCTCTCCTCCTCTCCTCCTCTCCTCTCCTCCTCTACTTTCCTTTCCTCCCCTCTCCTCCTCTCCTCCTCTCCTCTCCTCCTCTCCTCTCCTCCTCTCCTTTCCTCCTCCTCTCCTCCTCTCCTCCCCTCCTCTCCTCTCCTCCTCCTCTCCTCCTCCTCTCCTCTCCTCCCCTCCCCTCCTCTCCTCTCCTCTCCTCCTCTCCTCCCCTCCTCTCCTCTCCTCTCCTCTCCTCCTCTCCTCCCCTCCTCTCCTCCTCCTCTCCTCTCCTCTCCTCTCCTCTCCTCCTCTCCTCCCCTCCTCTCCTCTCCTCCTCCTCTCCTCCTCCTCTCCTCTCCTCCTCTCCTCCCCTCCCCTCCTCTCCTCTCCTCCTCTCCTCTCCTCTCCTCCCCTCCTCCTCTCTCCTCCTCTCTGCTGCATAGATTTACAGCTTTAGAAAACATTTCCTGTAATCTTGTTTTCCAGAGGAAGAAGCCAACGCCATCGACACCACTGGAGGTGAGACGGTTCCTGCTCAAACGCATCACTTCCTGTCTAAAACGCCTTTAAAGGGGACATATTAGCACTGTTTTCATTATTGGCCTTGTGCCCACGTGACCGGGCTGTCCAAACCTTCTGAGTACCTGATCAGGGGTAGGCTCTCCGATCGGCCCGGCGGAGTAGCTGAGCGTAAGCTCTGGTTGACTCGTGCTGATTGGAGCAGCAGTTGCTCTGGAGGTAGAGCGGGTTGTCCGGGTTCGATCCCGGCTCCGGACACAGAATCCTACTGTTGTGTCCTTGGGCAAGACACCTAACCCCCCCCCCCCCCCCCTTGCCTGCTGGTGGTGGTCGAAGAGACCGGTGGCGTCCGTGCTCGGCTGCCTCGCCTCTGTCAGAGCGCCTCAGGGCAGCTGTGGCTACATCGTACCTCATCACCAGCGTGTGAATGTGTGTGTGTGAATGGATGAATGATACTGTGGTGTAAAGAGCTTTGGAGTCCTCTGACTCTGAAACGACGTCAGCAGACGTCCCGAAAACCTGCAGTTGTAAGATTTGAAGTTACTGGTGAAGCAGAAAGTAAGTGAAAATATAAACCAACTCAAAGCTGAAAGTTAAGCTCCAGACACCGGAGAAACACGGGGAAGTCCCCCACGACTTCATCTATGTGCTTTGTTGTCTCAGAGCACCTAAAACACGTGTTACATCACACAGCTGCTCATGTCCTCTGTGGATTATGACATACTTCAGCAGAATAAAAGCTGTTTTTATTATTAATGGTACTGTGGAGGCTTTTTAGCGCTGATCAGGGACGCTGCCTAACCAGCAGATAAGCTTACGAGCCTACCCCGACATGTCCTCTTCTGTGGGACCGAAGGCTAGACGGCACGTCGCGGCCCTCTGCTGCTCCAACAGCGTAGCCTGTCTCCGTCTCAGTAAACAAGAATTTGGGTGGGTGGGGCTCTACAGGTGAGAGAGTGCTGTTTTCTCATTTACCTATTGTGATGTCACAATCAGGGACTTTGTGAAACCTGTCGGAGAACTAATGGAGAGTTTGTAAAGGCAGTAACGACCCACACCACAGAACCGGGTCTGGTTCTGATGCTCACAGCTGAGTTAATGCTTCTTCTTCTTCTTCTTCTTCTAGTTTTAGTAGAGGAGCTGAAACCAGACCACAGCGTTGGTGAGTCCAGTTTTATTTTATGACTGGGCTAATTTTAGAAACAAAACCAGCAACCGATCAGTGTAAAATATTGTATTAGTTATTAATATCATTATTGTGTTACATATTATAGATTTTTCATTAATGAAGCTGATTAACTGCAGTCTGATCAGGCCTGTCAGCAGGTGGCGCTGTGGGCTAACCTGTACATGGAGTTTCTATAATTCTGTGTGATGTTTTGTTCTGCAGTCGAGCCGGACCGATACCTGACGAGCTCCAAACTCACACAGGAAGCAGGTGAGAAACCCCGGCTCCGCCCCTCCAGGAGGTCCGTTTTATTAACCACAGCCAGCAGAACCAGCCTTTGTAGAAATTTTAATGTTTATCAACCAAAACAGTTAGGAAACTTTAAATGTGGTAAATGTTTAACATTAGAAGCAGAGGAGCAACCAGAGCCGGAGAATAAAGTCAAACCCACAGAGATTCCTCCAGACGGTGAGAAACCTAACCAGCTGTTCATCCCTCTGTGTGATCTCACGCTGATGATGTCATTAGTTTTATTCTGCTAAGTGTCTGGATGTTTGATCACATTTACTGTTGTCTTTGAGCTACATGGATCAAGATCTCAATGTGCTTTTATTTTGAAAGGAGCAGCAGAGAAACGGGTGGAGGAGCAGAAAGAAAAAGGTAAAACCCAATTCTGACCCAACGGTTTGATCTCCTAGTTCTCTTCATCTCCTCCTCGTTTCTGCTGCAGTGAAGAAGAAGAAACCAAAGTTTCTGAACAAGTTCGATGTAACTATTAAAGCTGAACTGGATGCAGCAGAGAAGCTCCGTAAGAAGGTAGAAATGTTCATCAGCCAAACCCAAACGCTGTAACTGCCCGACATCATGTTTCTGCTCCTCGCCAGGGGAAGCTGGAGGAGGCCCTGAAAGCCTTTGAATCCCTGGTTCAGCAGTTCCCTCAGAGTCCGCGTGCTCGCTATGGGAAGGCCCAGGTACGTTACGACCCACCGGGTCAGCTGATCCCTAACAGAGCCTGATCGTTAACATCGTATCCATGACAGGCGGAGGACGACGTCGCCGAGAAGCAACGCAGTAATGACATGCTGCACAGAGCCGTCAGCACTTACGGAGAGGTGGCTGAGCTTCCTGATGTGACTTTTGACCTCCTGAGGGCGGCGCTGAAACGCCGAGCCGAGAGGCAGCAGTTCCTCGGTAACGACACCTGCTTTACTCTGGTTACCTGGGCGACGGTGGCACAGGAGTTAAGTGCTCGCCTCGTAATCGGAAGGTTGCAGGTTCGAGTCCCACTCAGTCTGTTGCTGTCGTTGTGTCCTTGGGCAAGACACTTAACCCACATTGCCTGCTGGTGGTGGTCGGAGGGACCGGTGGCGCCAGCGCTCGGCAGCCTCGCCTCTGTCAGTGCGCCCCAGGGCAGCTGTGGCTACATCGTAGCTCATCCCCATCAGTGTGTGTGAATGGGTGAATGACTGATTGTGTTGTAAAGCACCTTGGGGGGTTCCAGGACTCTAGAAGGCGCTATATCAAATACAGGCCATTTACCATTTACCTGAGTCTTGACACCTGGTTTACTCTGGTTACCGGGGCCCTGACAGTTAAACATGTAGTTCATCATTTATTTTGACGTTTTCCTTTCAGGTCGAATGCGAGGATCTCTGGCAACACTGCAAAAGCTTGTTCAAATATTCCCAGATGATGTCAGCCTCAGGAACGACTTGGGCGTCGCACACCTGTTGCTAGGTGACAACAAGGGGGCTAAGAAAGTCTATGAAGAGGTGCAGGTCTTTTATCAGATATAACTCATTTTGGGGGGGCGGGCTTTTTGCTGTTCTCTGATTCTCCATCTGTTCTTTATGCCCCGCCCCCTAGGTCTTGGCGGTTGCCCCTGACAACGGCTTTGCTAAAGTTCACTACGGCTTCATCTTGAAGGCAGAAAACCAGATAGCTGAGAGCATCCCTTACCTCCGGGTGAGTGCCAGCCTGGATTCCATCTAAGAGTGCCACCTAGCGGTTACCTGGGTTACCTGCCAGTAGGGCTGCAACAAACGATTATTTAGATCATCGATGAATCGTTTAGGGTCTCGACTCGATTAATCGGGTTAAATGGGAAAATTTTAAAATGGCTAGGGAAACATTTGTTCTCTTCTTCCTTCAACAACAAAACACGATTAGAAAACAGTTCAATAGCGTTCTAAACAACATGCTAAATATATCCATAATTAAACTAAGATAAGTCAAATTTTATGTATTTCATTAACATGTTCAGTAGTAAGCTAATGGAAATGCTAATAACATTTAATTTCTACTGCTAAAAATGTAATTGTGACATGTCTATTATGTATGTGTTAGCAATAATCCAGTTTAAATTATGTTCAAAGATAGACGTGTTTGTGAATTACATGTTACAGTGGCTTGCCATAATGCTGCTGCGATATTTGGAGCAGACTCGAAGCAGCAGCGACTCTGCATCATAGAGCTGCAGACAGCCAAGAATAAACAGGATAGCGGGGACTTTTCTTCCGCTTGTAGAGGTTAGATAGCCTTAGTTTCACGACCATCGTGCTTTTCTGGAATCCCACTTGGTTGTGAGCCTTCTACCGTCTAGCATTAGCTAATCTGCCCCAGCCATCTAGGGCCAGCTCCTCCGGGGGAATACTAAGGCATTCCCTGGCCAGGCGAGAGACATGGTCTCTCCAGTGTGTCCTGGATCTTCCGTTAGGTCTTCTCCTGGTTAGACGTGCTCGGAAAACCTCACCAGGGAGGGGTCTAGGAGGCATCCTGACCAAATGTTCAAGCCACCTCAACTGGCTCCTCTTGATGTGGAGGAGCAGCGGATCTACTCCGATCCCCTCTCTGGTGACCGAGCTTCTCACCCTATCTCTAAGGGAGAGCCCAGCCACCCTGCGGTATCCGTGATCTTGTTCTTTCCGATCCAACCCACCTTTATTTGTAAAGCACTTTATACACAACACTGTCGACCAGAGAGCTTCACACAGATAAAAACATACCGACATAATTAAAAACAGTAAAAACATGGATAATATATTAAAACATACAAAAACTATGTAAAAGAAATAAAACACAACACTGCTTAAAAACAGGAGTGGATAAATGGTAAATGGCCTGTATTTGATATAGCGCCCTCTAGAGTCCTGGAACCCCCCAAGGTGCTTTACAACACAACCAGTCATTCACCCATTCACACACACATTCACACACTGGTGGTGATGAGCTACGATGTAGCCACAGCTGCCCTGGGGCGCTCTGACAGAGGCGAGGCTGCCGAGTACAGGCGCCACCGGTCCCTCCGACCACCACCAGCAGGCAACGTGGGTTAAGTGTCTTGCCCAAGGACACAACGACAGCGACAGACTGAGCGAGACTCGAATCTGCAACCTTCTGATTACGGGGCGAGCTCTTTACTCCTGTTCCACCGTCTCCCTTAAGAATAATCAGTCAGTGTTTAAAACCAGTGAATACAAGTGAGTCTTGAGGAGGGACTTAAAAACGACCAGAGAAGATGCCCTTCTAGTATTGCCTGGAAGCTGGTTCCAAAGTACCAAAGAAGCTGGAAATCCAGAAAAGGAAATTGCTTAGCCAATCGCCTGACCTTAATGGCATTACATTAATCTCCGAGAACAAAGTAAGGAACCTTGGTGTTATCTTTGACCAGGACATGTCATTCAGGTTAATCAGGTTTGCAGGATTTCCTTTTTCCACCTTTGGAATATTGCTAAGATTAGAAGCATCCTTTCCAGGAGTGATGCTGAAAAACTAGTTCATGCATTTATTACATCAAGACTGGATTACTGTAATTCATTACTCTCAGGAAGTCCACAGAATGTAGTTAAAAGTCTTCAGCTTGTCCAAAATGCTGCAGCTAGAGTTCTGATGAGAATTAAAAAGAGAGATCATATCTCTCCTGTCTTAGCTTCCCTACATTGGCTACCTGTTAAATTCAGAATAGATTTTAAGATCCTTCTTCTCACATATAAAGCTCTTAATAATCAAGCTCCATCATACATCAATGATCTGATTGTTCCATATGTTCCTAACCGAGCACTTCGCTCTCAGACTGCAGGTCTACTGGTGGTTCCCAGAATATCTAAAATTAGGATGGGAGGCAGATCTTTTAGTTATCAGGCTCCTCTCCTGTGGAACCAGCTCCCAGCTTTAGTCCGTGAGGCAGACACTTTGTCTACTTTTAAGAATAGGCTTAAAACATTTTTATTTGATAGGGCCTATGGTTAAAATCTGATGTTAGCCTAAATCTGGACAAGTGGGGGAGTAGAGGGAGGTGGAGTGTACAGTCGGTAAAGACGACTCTCCCTTGCCCTGCCTCCAACATGCCTCCATCTAAATAGGATAGATTATCCAGAGTTAACTCTGTAGTTATGCTGCTATAGGCTTAGACTGCTGGAGGACACACTGACCACTTTTCACACTCTACTGCTTTCTTCTACAATCTGCTCTTTAACTGTATTATTTCCTGCTATTTCAGCAGTTAACTTTATTTTCTCTCTAAGTGTTTTTCTCCCCAGAAGAAGCTACAACGATGTTCTGCTGAGCTGTGGTGGCCTCATGGAGGGGGCCATCGTCTAGCACACTGCTGCTAACCACTTAAACATTCTCCCTCTCCTGATAATAACTTTTTACTCTCTTTGACGTTGGATGTGCTACTACTAGTTTATCCGTTTAATTATAGATCCACTAGGATAAATACAATAAAGTTTATCTCTCACCAAATAGAATATTTACTAAGAAATCACAATATAACTATAGACACATTGCTTGAAGGTACCTGAGACGACTCGTCATGATTTGGCGGTTTATAAATAAACTTGAATTGAATTGAAAGTCCAGGTGCAGCAGTGGAAAAGGACCTATCTCTTCTCAGCTTCAGCCTCGTTCTTGGGACCACCAACTGCTGCTGGTCAGCCGACCACAACTGGCGAGTTGGCTCATACGGCACCAGCATGTCCGCTAGATAGGAAGGTGCCAGTCCAGTCAACAATTTGTACGCCAACACCAATATTTTAAAACGAACTCTAAAAGCAGCTGGGATCCAGTGCAGAGAAGCCAACACCGGGTTGACATGCTCAGTCACTACCCAAAGCTTGTGACCATAGGTGAGGGTAGGAACGTAGATCCACAGGTAAATCGATAGCTTTGCCTTCTGTCTCAGCTCTCTCTTCACCACGACAGACCGGTACAACGCCCGCATCACTGCAGGTGGAGCACAATCTCACACTCCAGCTGTACCTCACTCGTGAACAAGACCTCAATATACTTAAAGTCCTCCACTCTGCAGGACCTCCTCCCTGACCTGGAGAAGGCATTCCACCTTTTTCTGACTCAAGGCCATGGTCTCAGATTTAGAGGAGCTGATTCTCATCCCAGCTGCTTCACACTCGGCTGCAAACCGACTCTCACTGGAAACGAGCCCGACTTACTGCCGGCAATGTGGACCAAGCTCTGACACCGGTCATACAGGGACCTAACAGCCCGTATCAGAGGGCCTGGTACCTCATACTGCTGGAGTACCCCCCACAGGACCCCTCGAGGGACGCAGTCAAAAGCCTTCTCCAAATCCACATGATAACACGTGGATTGATTGGGTGAACTCCCTCGCACCCTCCAGGATCCTCCTAAGGGTATAGAGCTGGACCAGTGTTCCACAGCAGGACCAAAACCACATTGCTCCTCCTGAATCTGAGGTTCAACAGTCTGCCGGACCCTCCTCTCCAGAACCCCTGAGTAGACCTTACCAGGAAGGCTCAGGAGTGTGATCCCCCTGTAGTTGGAACACACCCTGCGGTCCCCCTTTTTAAATAAGGGAGCCACCACCCCTGTCTGCCAGCCCATGGAACTGTCCTATTGCTACTTACCTTTGTTCAATAAAGTTCTGGGGGGAAAGCCTAAAAAGGGCTAAGCCTAAAAGTAGTTTATGGTACACAGTTTTTTCATCGCACTTGCAGCATAAATGTGTCTGTCGATCTTCTCTGCTGTTGTACAGATGAGGTGCGCACACTGACTGTTACATAAAGGTTACATGACACGAGGAAAAATTGCATAACACAACAAACCAATGACAAAATGTGTTGCCAACGCATTTCTTCATGGATTGTTATCGATTCGTTGTTGCAGCCCTACCCAGGTTAGTTGTTCAGAGAAGCTTTGTCTTTATTTCACGTTTGGTATATATGTCAGTAGTTTTGAGCCCACGGGGATGCCAGACGAGCAGGTGTCATTATTGTTGGGTTAAACTAAATAGGGAGACTCGTCAGAACCCTTTGGTTCTGGATAAT